GAGCCTGACATCCATGCTGCAACTGCTGCGAGTTATGTCCAATAAATTGAGAACCGTCTACGAGTGTGTGCATATGAGTGCCTAGTTTTCTTGTAGAAGCACGAACGCAGTACAGATACTATGCTTATAGCAGTAACGTTCTCCGCACGACTGTGAAAATGCACCGCGGCCCTAGATGAAATATGGGTGGTCTTGAACTCCTAGCCAAAAGTCATAGGCTCTTTTTCGAATTCTGCCATAAGGAGTTACGTAGGGCCCAAGTGGATGATCATCATAGCGAAGGATTTCTGCACTGTGGCTTTCAAGCGGCTCTATACAGAAATAAAATCGTTGCTGTCGGTGTATATTGCCTGTTCCACGACAATCAGATCGACGTGGATGGTAGCACACAGCTACATTAAGGCCACCATTACTCGTCACAGTACCAGACCTCGACTAATGTATTATAGGGCAGTGCTGGGACACAAACAATACTGGGACCTGGGTTCAATCGCATCATTCGCCCTACTACAACCGTGCGATTTCAACTGTCCTGGTCAGTCGAAGGTACTCTCCGACGGCAAACGCTACAATGTTTTGTCATTCGCCGAAATTGGACATCAACAGCAATTTACTCGCACTTGTTGAAATAAACGAAGGTATCAGTGGTCCAAACGCTTTCGGGGCACGAGCGGTTGAAGGAGGGATCTACTTGACCTAAAGTTAAAATATTACTTTTTTATGTTTTCCTTTCGTTTTATAGGAGTGAAACCTTCCACATTTTGGATGGGATGACAATAATTAGTCCCTAGAGCCGTGGCCGCTAGTCTGGCAGGTGCATAACCAAGCCTGCGAGCATGCACCTTCTCATCAAGACAGCTTTTCCCCCTCCCCCGCTTAGAATCAGCCTGGCCCGCATAGCACAGGCAGTGCAGCTTCACCTGTCCTCTCACTCCATTAGCTCCCTCTTGAATATGCAGCGCTGAGTACGGTTCCTACGTAGTTGATTGCTTTGTAGCCAAGTAGACCTAGAGCGTAGACGTGTCACGTGCTGTCTTTTCCAGATACATAGAGTATGTTCTTTCGTTGAGGCCTCGTTCATACTTTGCAAACGCGGAAATGCGCAATTTCGCAGAATGGGAGCTAAGTGGGAATTGACTTAGTCGGCTCCACCAATTTTTCAAAAACGGTAGTGGGTGAGTCAGTCGAACTGTCTCCATACAAAACTTTGTCGTGAACTCTTCACATCGCAAGCATGGACATTTCCTTATGAACGTAATTTTTTTTGAATCGTTTCAAATCGTTGTCTTAAGGCTAGGTCTGGTTATTCTGCAACCTGGGCATTGCGTTGGTAAACTTCCCCCTCTCCCCACTACCTCTGATGAATCGTCAGCGTATGGCGTGAAGTGTAGTAACTTACTCGGAAATTGGTTATAGAATACCTTTTGTTCGGTGAATAGCGATAACATTCAATTGTTCGGTCCTCTTTTATTGCACCTCATTGTCAGTGCATCAACTGAGACATTTTCAAGTTCGTTGTCCCGCTTAATGTCTACCGTTATATTTTAGTGTTTTTTTTTCGTGCTTATTGGTACTCACCTTCTCACCAGGAAAGGTCAGCAGGTCAGCCCGGTCGGCGATGTGGTGCACATCGCTGTACTCGTTTCGAGATGGTGAACTCAAAACTATACTTCAAAATTCGCGGGAACGATTCTCTGAGCGGAGTTATGGAGGTTTTTCTCTACTGTTTCCTTCTTCGAGACGCGCTGGCGCTGGGGCGTTGGCATCTGTAGCGCGACTCACAGCGCTCTTCGCAAAATAGGTATCATATTCGTGTTCAGGGGGTCAAATAACCCCTAGAGACGTCACCTTAGCGAAATCTGAGCTTCTGACTCAACGAAAAAAATGGTGCTACTTTAGCCATTGCTGACTGGTAGCCAACAGCGACACTACCACTAGCCTACTGGTGATGACTGGTCTTCGGAATGAAATAACTCTTCAGTCATGCCTTTTCGCGAAGAACAATTTCTGGCTCACTTATGCCGTCTGCATCATCCCTCTGATTACCGGGAGGAAATTCCATCCCGAGACCAGTCATCGATGGTAGGTGAGCTCCAGTCTGCTGCTAATTACCCATAGAATAGCCCACATTTTCCAAGTTAGGTCGAAATATCAGATTTGGCTAGAAACTTGTCCCAGAGGTAGTTGACCCGCTGAACATGAATATCATACTATTTCATTGCAACCTTTTTGACTTGTGTTGTGAGGGAGGCAAACACAGCACTCTTTCAGGCCGCAATGGGTCTACACTATCAAAGAAAAAGTTGATTGCAGGTTTTCTTACAGGCTAGTGCAGGCGAGCAGGGATGTCAGGAGCTTTATTTGCCATGATCTTGAAAAAAGCAATAATGCGCGAGCTTACGAGAACCATCCCACGACCCCTGGAGGACCCACTCGCTACCTGTTCTTTCTACTGCCACGTTTCACAATAACTGTCTAGGCATATGTAAGCACGCTTCCACGTTTCTTCGCGCTTCTTAGCATGTAAAAGAAATACGCGGGATTAATTCAACTTCATAAACTCCGATTCACGAAATACGTTGCGGCCAATTTTTAAGAGGCCAACATTTTGAGTTCACTGTCTGATGACGCGTACAACGGTGTGCACCTCATTGGAAATGGCCGAGCTGACCTATTGACCTTTCTTGGTCCGAGTAGATGATTACTGATAGTACTTGCATATTAATTCTGACTTTAGTTGGTTTTCTCTGTTCAGTAGCCGCTGGTTCGTCCTCGTGCAGACATCAAGTCAAGGAGCAGAACGCGTTCGCTTTGTTGGTGAATACTCGTAATAAAATAGAGAAATTTCTAATTCGCGGTGCTGCAGAAGGCACAGATGGCTTTCTCCTCGCTGGACGTCACTTCCCTTCACTACAGCATATTATAGACAGGTACGTTGATTATTTTCGTGTCAAATCTTGGAAATTCTTGTTGAATCTTGAAAGCGTTAGGGTTCGATTCTGAACAAATACCGTTTAGGAATGGAAGTAAACGGTAGACAAACGACACCATTTGGTGAGTTAACATTCTAATTAGTGGTTCCACGCTTTTGAATATTGATTTGTGATTTGTCTCGTGCTTGGAACTTTCTTTGAGCAAATATGATGTCGTACTGTCAATTAGAATATTCAGGCTGCATTCATACTTTGCGTCAACTTACAGGCAGCGATTCGAGCGTAGGCCAGCGCCAGCGACCAGGATTGTATATATTCCATTTTCACTTTGAATTCACCTATTTTCAAACCAAATTCACCCTTTTTCAAACCAAATTCACCCGTTTTCAAACCGAAATTCACCCTTTTCAAACCAATTTCACCCCTTTTCAAATCAAATTCACCCCTTTTCAAACCAAATTCACACCTGCTTCCAAATCGATCTTTACCAGCAAGCTTATTAGGCGCTGCAATTCGATGCTACCAAATCACGCCCGGACATACTGCCGGGCCCGCGCCCCTTGAGCCACGCCTACTTGCTTTTTGCGGAATTTTGATATTTTTTCAAAAGTTTTGCGTTTTTGGACCACTGCGTGAAGCCCCGACGGCTCCGCCCATTTTGGAGAAGCCCTGCCCACTTTTCAAAAATAGGTAAAATCGGATGTATAGGGCTCTTGGCTTTTATGGCCAGGGTCTCGTCCTCACTTCAGAACAAACCTTGCTGAATCTTCTTGTTTCATGTGACGAACGATACCCTAGCATGAAAGCCAAGACCCTATACTGCCGATTTACACCATTTTTGAAAAGTGGACAGGGCTTCACGCAAAGTGGGCGGAGCCTCAAACAGTGGGCAGGGCTTCACGCAGTAGTCCAAAAATGCAAAAATTTTGAAAAAAGTATCAAAATTCCGCACAAAAGCAAGTGAGCGTGGCGAGGGGCGGCGCACGCAGAGGGTGGCTGCATGAGTACTCGTTTGATGACTTGCGCAGCCAATAGTGGTGAATCTAGCGAAAGCCATGAGATTCCACCGCACAGCACCATTTTCGCCGCGGCTCTTTGATTTGAGCAATAGTTGCACCAGTGCCACACTCGTTGTTGGGACATCCCGCACAACAACGGGTATCCCCACGAACAACGGGAGTAAATTCGGGTCGTAGTTGGGCTGAGGAAAACTTGTGTTGGTAGTTGGTTTTTCTTGTTTCACGGACGTTGAAAAAAAAGAAAGAACAGAAACATTTGGAAAAGTGGCAGGAAGGTGGGGAAAATCTGAGAATTGAGAAGGGAGGAGGTCGTACTCTCCTCGCGACTTCCGTTTCACGACTTGCTATATTACGCCAGGCCCCCCCCCTCTCTCCCCCTTCCCTTCCGCCGCTCGACAGCTCGCATAGAGGAGGGACCAAAGGGACGGGTGCGGAGTCGTACGATCCCCCCCCCCCACTTCCGCCCAAAAAGGACTCGGGGGGGGGGGGTCGTACGGACTCGACCGAAATCCCCAACCAATGTTGTGCCCTGAACTGCTCTTGAAAATGTTGCTGAACGCCGGTAAACGCTGGTGGACGCTGGCGTTCGCCTAGATCGATACCTATAGTTCCCTGATTGCTGTGCGCTGTACGCTGGTGTATGCTGCATACACTGACGCAAAGTTGAACGCAGCCTTGTGATTCGTACGGGTTATGAATTCACTTTTGCTACAGGTACTGTGTCCATCCTATCGCAAGTGATGTGCGTCTAACGCACGCTGTTCTTCCATCGTCATCGTCATCACGTCGTGCGAGTGCCGAGAATGATTGCAACGTCAGCTGCGCTCAATGACGACTTCACCGATTGGTCCCTAATCGACATCAATAGAGCACACTGGATTGACTTACGTCAATCACAAACTGTGTCCTCCACCAGTGGCCGCTGCGGTTCAGGCCTTAAGAAAATGTGAGATTTTGAGTTATGTGATTGGTACCAGGCAGGGTTCATACATTCCGACAACGTAGAACAGGAGAATCCGCAAAAAAGAAACATAAGACGCGACCAGACGCGACTACTCTGACAGGTCCCGGCATCCGCCGCGAACAGGACCGTGCCTTCTTTTTAACGGATTCTCCGGTCTTCCCAGTTGCGAGATGATCCGAATCTTCGGTGTCTCACAAGGGAGGTCGTTCAGGCCGTGGTGAGCTTTTTCAAAACGGTTTGTTGCATGTTGTAGGGGTCTATGCGAGGACCACAGCGATGGGGTTCATTTTTGCTAAACGGTTTTGGGAATGTCAAAAAAAGGTCAAAAATAATTCGAAAAGAATGGGCTTTTTAAACCACCTTATTCCCCTCTATTCTAGCTGTAGCGTTGACAGTGTATAGTATGTAGGGTATCCTTTGAGTAGGCATGAAAAACAGCGCAAAATAAGGTCGAAATCCAAATGCTTTACTTGGCATGTGGTGAGCGCATTGGAGTTTTCCAGTCATTCTGTCGCTTGCTCTTCAACGGGTCCTTGCATTTCCAAATTCTGTTTCTCTGAATCCTTTGATTTCTTTCTGCTCTTTGTCCCTATAGCGCAGTGCAGAAAGTGTGTCGTGATGATAGCGTGACGGGGCGCTCATCGGTGGATGGGTTATGGATCGGATCCCCCTGGTGGGACATTTTTTGCATTTTTCAGAGTTCTTGCATCTTGTATTCCTATATGCCCCATAATGTGTATGACCCGGATATACGCCATTTAAAGACACATTCCATGCGGGAACGGTTCACAACGGGGCCTCACTCAATTATTACGCTCGCGAAATACTATCGAAGAACTCTTCATGAAACTTGGGTTAACGGCGAGTAATCCGATGCTCGTGATCATGATTATGACACTTTTCAAATATGGCGCAACGTGTCGCCAATTTGGTGCAAAGGCTTTCTCGTACTAGCATCATTGTCAGTCTGCGCGGCGGGGCTTATTTAGCGCCATACTGGTCCCAGATGGCCTCCGTGCCAAAAATAAGTGTCAGAACCGTGATCAGGACCATGAACTATCCCTACGTATAGAGTTACGCCGGAAAAAAATTTTTTCCGAGTTTTTTGTGTTATGATGCCTGCCATGTCTCCAGCTAGTGGCTATCAGTTCCCCCCCCCCCCCTAAAGAGTCATTATTCAACATCGTTAAGAGGGGCTTTTCATTTGTTAGTATGCAGACGAGAATTAACAACTACACAAAAAAGTGAGGCACATACACTGCACACCACTAATACCTTTGATATGGGAGAAACAAGATCTTTTTTCCGGGCAGGTGGTAACGAGTTCTTTGTCGAAATTGTCGAAGACGGTAAAAGTGGAGAAAGTTTCAGGATGCTCGTTTAATGACTCCGAAGCCAGCACGGTGTTCTATGTAAACCTACTGAAGTTGAGAGTGCAAGAAATGAAAAATTTCTGGTTTGTATGCCAGAGAGGATACTCAATGGAGGGTTCGCCTGTCACTGACATCCAAATGGTCATTAAATAGGGGTACTCAATGGCCCTGATCACGATTCTGACAATTATTTATGGCGCCGACGTGATCTGGGGCCAGCGTGGCGCTAAATGGCCACTGCGAGCGCGAAGGGATGCTGCATAAACCCCTAAAGAAACTGCAGTGTACCTCACTGTATGCAAAGTGAAGCACTTCTCATGTCTAGTTGAGGAACACTTTATAAACTCTATGTATTCTGCTTTACAGCTGAAACAGATGCGAATGAGATGATAAAACTTGCGTATTTTGAGCGATTTTTTTATTCCTTTTTTGGCATTCCCAATAGCGTTTAGCAAAAATGAAACCCATCTGTGTGGTCCTTGTATGGACCCCTACAACATGCAACAAATCGTTTTGAAAAAGCTCACCACGGCCTGAACGACCTCCCTTGTCAGAGTATGAGCGCGACTTCAGTCACTCTTTGTACAACTCATTTTACCACTTTACTACGCGGTATAGCAACAGTACCGCAGTAACTTCTCACAATGCCGCTGTTTTTTTAAGTTCTTTGTTTGCAGCCCGTGAAGAAAAAGCGTGGAAACCTTGTTGGCTGACGCTTTGCGACGATCCTAATGGTGGATGTGAGCTTGTCGTCGCTGACACGGAAGTGGTACGTTTCTATATGTTGAACTCTACGGAGACAAATTACACAAGCTTACTAAAGAAGAAGGATTTTGCTTCTCATGCACTGTCAGGGATATTCTGAGGATATTTGGTAGATGTTTCACAACTCTAATGGAATTGAATGAAAATTGGAAGTTACACGGACGTCTTGTCTAGATCCCCATATGTACTTTTTATTCATAAAATGAACAGCGGCTTTCTGAAGAGTTGTTGATGATTCGCGATTTTGATGGCATATCAAAAAGTAGTAGTTCATTCCATAACAGCAATTCGTAGTTCAGCTCTCGGCTGTTATCTCAGCAATACCTCTGCATCAAAAACGGGTTTGAGACGCGATTTCTCTGAGAGGAATCGCAGACACCTGGTAATCAATAGGTCTCCCTACGATTAGCTTGTCTAAAAAGCCTGCTCTCACTGACCTTTGTGGAGTGTTGAACTCATTTCAGCGCTGTACTGACGCTGCATTTTTTCTTCCAGCCCCGCAATGTTTATGCACCACTTGCGGCGACAGCATCCTAGTTTCAATGGCTTCTGATCCTGGTAGAGCTTTGAATACAAATAAATATGCGTTCGAAAAGCTCGTGCGGATCACAAATAGAGGAATTCGCAAAAGGATTAAAGGCTCTGAAAAAGAAGGATAAATGGAGCTAGCAATCTATCTTGGATATTTGTACTCTATTTCGGAATGGTGTAGAGACAAGTGGCACCGTTTGCTGCTCGAGCTATGCTTGGGTCAAATCCCGAGTGAGCTTTCGCCCGGGTTAACTGAGCCCTCTATCCCTTTGAGGTGTTGGTATGTAGGGTGCTCCTTGCAATCACTGCATGAGCTAAGCCAAGTTCTAATATTGCCCACTTGGATTCGGAATAAAAGAGAATGCATACTGCGCCCGAAGAAGAAATTGAACAACATTGAAAACTTTACCCTTTATCTTTTTGTAAAAAGGCTATCTCTTCCTTATCGAATATACTTTTCCAGAGTGCCAAAGCCCGGCTTGTACTAGATTTGGCATACTGCGTGATGTATCTGCTTGACGACTCTGTATTCGCTCGTGAAGGTTGTGTATTTCTTTCACAAACAGATATTGATTTGTCGGGAGTGTACATTTGCTTTCGTCCAACGCACATTCTCATCAAATGGCTCGAGTTATTAAGGTTCGTTTTTTTACGGACAATACAAATTCACGCGATGACACATTCCGACATTACATGTTTCATACAATCGCTTCCTTTTAAATGTGGTTCGCCCCCCGTCGAAGAGGTTTCATTGTTCTCGCGGCTCAAAATAGCGAGGATGTTTTGGCCGTCATTAGCCAAAGGAACGCCGCCCAGTATAAGTAGTTCCACCCATTTCGGCCAGTCATAACACAGCAGTCTTAAATTTAGATCACAGTTGTGAATGGCCTTACGTTCATTCCCGTGTGTAGCCATGTATCGCGGTATCCCCGGTGGTATTTTTTCCTGTTCTCTCGTCCGCGCAAACAGTTTTCGCTTCTTCAAATGCTTGTCTTGTGCTGGGACCTTACTTCAAGGCAGTTGGCACAATGGTTTCCTACTTAGCCTAAAATGCTAGTAGGGCGCTGTATAGTGGGGAAATGGCGAAAGAACGGAGTGAAACGGTCAAACCTGCGAAGAAAAAGCCTCCGTTCTCAGTGACTTGAAAATCGATTTCGGACGAGTTTCCCGTAGGCATCTTGCCAATCACCGCTACCGAAGATACGGCTGCATATGTGTACCCATATATGCATGCAGCATCACGGCCGCTTCATACCAATCCCTTCGCTTCATAATTTGCTTAGCAAATGAATGAATACGAGCGTCAGGAACGGTCGTCCATTTGTGGGCGGGCGGGCGTTTGGGACGTAAAGTTGTGGCTTGATAGGGCCCTTATAAGGGCACCTTCCTCGGGGAAACCGCTATGCAGCGCCTGCCCAGGGTCGCGGAATTCTATCCTGCCAGGAGTATTGATCCTAGTCGTCTTGGGGGATTTATCGTGCCAACTGCTTTTGAGGCGGATCCGACGGATGCTTCTGCTCTTTCATTACTACGAAGCTAAGTAGTGTCTAAAAAGGAACATTCATACCTCACTACCGCAGAAACCCCGACTGATTACAATTGCGGAATTGTTTTAACGTAGTAATAATTACAATAATCTTATCATTTATTGATAAAGTCTCAAAACCTGGATTGACATAGTTAGGTTGGTGTTTCCTTGAATGAGACTTCCCCGTCCAAGCATGTTTGCATCTTACTCATTTTCAGGCCACGCGTCTTGGGTCTTCGAACAGGTGCAGTTCCGGTGATGATAGGTTTACAGTTCGAACCGCCAAAACAATCATTTGTGGCTGTTTTGCAGCTTCACATAGATAAATATAGGTTTGATCTCTTTTAGTTGAACTTTTTGGCTTCTAAAGTTTCATTACTTCGTTTTCATTCTTCCTCTCAGATGCGAAACAGTCAAATCGGATGGCTTTTATTCGGCATACGGGATGCTGTGTGGAGTGAAAGTATGTTTTTGAGTTGTCTTAGGTGATTACTGTCTGTCTTTCAAAAGGTGAATTTGTAGGTATGTAGCACGCCAGTTATAATGGCAACATTGAGCAAGGGTTCGGTGTCGTCTGTTATTTTCGACTGTTCATTTCTTTTACCGTGGGTTTCTCATCATTCCTTGTCCTTGGTTTCCATTTTGAAATTCATGAAGTTTATTTCCAGATTAGTGCCGCCCGAAAATGGTACTTTACAATTCTCAATACTTTCTCATTCGGGTGGTGGAAAGAAGAACAGACTGCTCGGAGTATCGGCATTATTTCCTCTACCTGATTCACAACCACTTGCCGACTCGCCAGACTCCGGGTTCACCTTTCGAGCAGTCCGACACCGTATTCGAGTGCTCAACCAAGCTCAATATGCGCCGTTGTTGGAGTACATGAAGTGAGTCTGAACTCAGTCGCTATCGTTACTAACATCTGTATGTGACAACGGGTTATTCCGCTTTTACGGTGGAACCCTGGCCTCTGAAGATGAGATCACTCGAAACGTGAGGCCGAACGTATTGAATAAAAGTTCCCCCGAAAACCTCTAACGGCAGAACAAACTTTTTATTTTCAATTCAGCCGCTATACTTTTATTTTATATCTGCCTTAGTTCAGTCATCTGTCGTCAGGGTACGTCTTGTAATGGAAAGGCTCGCAAAATACGGCCCCATTTAGAACATCCTTTTCTGGTGCGACCCTCCCCATCCTCCGTCCTACCTACCGTAGTCCCAAAACTTCTCGTAACTTCCGTTTCTTCAGATTTTTTCCAAAAATTCAGATTCTTTCCTTCTTCTTTTTCTTTTTCTTCCTTCTTCCGAAAACATTTTTCTCAAAGGTCAATACGACCTCCCATCTCTTTCCAACGATAAGCCCCTTTTGCTGGAATCCTGACGTGAAACGTACCCTGGCTGGAGTTTGAGGTTTTATAACTTCTTCATTAATGAAGACGTGACTGTCGCGCGTCTAGGTAGCCATTAAGGGGACTTGACTCGTTACGATTTTGTTTCGAATTTGACTGTTTATGATTTTGTTCGATCACCGTGTACTACGAGAACAAGAAGAAGGTTAAAAGCTACCATAAGTATCTCTTTGATTAACTTGTTCTTTCATTGTTCGATGAGCAGTCATCGGTGATATTTTCATTTTCTTAAGATGCCATATGCTTCATGAATGTCCAGAATTTGAATTCAGACTGAGTAAGTGACTCCTCTGTCTTGCACTGTCTATGACCTTTACGTCAAATTCACAAGCATATTTGTTTGTTTGTGTGTATGTGTGTGACTGGTTATCGTCACACCGTTCACTCTGCTTGTCAAAGCGCTCGCTTACGCCTGTTATGGTGAAAGGAAATCGCGAGACTGGCGCTAATTAGTCGAATAATAGACGAGGAAGAATGAAAATCTTCACCTGGCGAGGATCTTCTTGACACCCGTGTCAGGTAAGGGGCGGGGTTAATTAGAGAGTTGTCTCAGACGGTGAGACGACGGCGCAAGATACGACGATATCATTAATGGCGTCAAACTTTCACGGCCATAGGGTGATTACGATTGAGCCACTATGTTGGGTGGCTTCGAAGAACCTCAACAGTTATTCAAATTGAGCTTGAAGGTGCAGTTCTGACGCTAAATTACTTGATGTGGTTTCCAATATGCCAACGGTTTCTTTATAATAATGTTAATTTATTAGCAGCAAAAAAAGAAAAGTGAGCTGACACGTTGAACAAAAGATTATCCTATTTTCTTGGGAGTAAGGAGCAACTGTTTGCATGGCCGCGGTGACACACGCTGGGCGCGCGACAAGTTGCTAGACACAGCAGGATTTTTTGCCTTTTTTGCATAGTTAATCTTCCCATTAGTTTTCATTAGATACATCTTATCGAATACAGATAATTAAGATGGAGCGAACAAACAAAGACCGCAAAACGTAATTGAGGAAAAAACATTAGTGGCGTTCGAAGTGAAAAGGCTTTGTGGCGTTCGAAGTGAAAAGGCGCCATGCATGAGTGCACCTATTGTAGGACATACGGTATCTATTAGAGACAAAGACATAGATTGAGCTGAGTCAAAAACAACAATGTACAAACAATGTTATCGACCATCATATTTGTTGTATTTAGAAAAGGAACTGTTGAGCTGTTCGAATGGGCATCAGATGCCTTGTCAATCCAACAACGGTCGCTTTTGTGCTGGTCCACAGTGTCCCTATTCCTACCAAACCGTGACGAGTTGCTGCAGTTCATAAGGTTGGTGTATAATTGAAGTTAACTACTTGTTCTCCTAGGTAATTTCGAATGATTTTCAGTCGACTTTTGCGACGGGTATTGGCGACGTGTTCAGCAGAAAATGTTATGCGGCAAGATTCCTTAATAACAACATTGCTAACCCAAACGCTGAGGATAGGTGGTCGATCACGGCTGGAGGAAGCGCTCGATGCAGTTGGGATATCAAACGTGAAGCTGCTGCAGGTTAGTTATAGTAGTTTATTACTGAAACAGAACAATATTATAACAACAGGAAATAGATGGTTGGAATTCAACTTCGAACCCTTTTATAGCCAGCGGATGTGGATAGTGTTATTGAGATGCTTGATAAACTTGTATCACCAAATTCGCTAGTAAACGATCTGCTCGTAGCTGTCGCTCGTGTCGCCGCTGAGCGCTTTCCTGATGAGCCACACATACTGAGAAGGGTTTTGAGGTTAGTTACGGTTTTGCTGTTTTAAAGACTGCTTGACAAAAGACTGCCTTATAAAAGAATGCAAAATATCTCTCTCGTTGTGGCACAAGATAGATAAACCTTTCTGGAACCTTGAAATACTAGTTCATTTAGCACAGCATCATTTTTTCAGTAACGTGTATATATTGCGTTTCGTCAATCCATTATTGATATCCTATATGAGTGGTAAGTGGGATTTGTCGTTTTCTTCCTTTAGGTTTGATTTTCCTTTTTGTGTTCCAATAATGACGAAGCCTTCGTGTCTTTCAGGTAACTTGATGAACCAGCAGCTTGCGAAGGGTGTGCAGGCAGCGGCAAATGTTGCTGCAGCGGCATCTCCACGTTTAGAGGACGTCACGGTTGGATCTCAGTGCCTCCGTGCTCTTTTCGAACGGCTCAGAACTACTGCTGAAACTGAACAGGTGAGATTCTAAAGAAGTGTGTGGAGGATAAGAAACTCACCATGAAGGTTGTTCAGGAGGTGAAGCGCTTTTTTGCATGATGTAAGGACGGGTATGTGGCAGGAGAATCGTAATTAGCCGCGCAAGCGTCGTCGCGTGCGACGTCGCGCCCGCTAATGACGACGATTTTAGGTGGTATGGTCGAGAATAGACAATGTATGACCAAAAATAGGCATAGGTGTCTACAATGTCCTTGTCTACGTGAAATTCGGTACTCACATTGGAAGGGTCGTGTAAATTGAGGAAACCTCGCGCGATTGCCACGGGCAAGCGACAATTTCCGATTCTCTTGCCTGTCTCCCATGTAGGAACATGCATGCACCTAGGCTGTACACTGGGAATACCAAAAAGGAGTGAAAAAGTCTAGAAACTGATTGTTTTCGGACCTCTGTGCGCTGTGAGTCACTTAGTTGCTGAGTGGAGGGTCCTTATAAAAGGACTATTGCCACTGAGGTGAAAAATAGTCGCAAATGATGCATATTTGTATGCTCCCTATATATTACCGGTTACTATCTACAAACAGTTCCACGCCCTTCTTATTAAAATCGCTCTTGCAAAGACTATGGAACTATAAAGTAAGCTAATAACTGCTCTTCAGTTCACGTCATTCTCATTGAAATTGCGCTTGCAAAGAGTATGCAACATAATAAGGGCTTGCTGATCTTCGATTCTCTTCAATTCAAGTCCCACGGCGCAAAGTTTGCGTTTGATCGCTAGCTAGAAAGCGTGGTTCACCAATGTTGGCAAAATGCCACTAGCGCCGCATGCACCGCGTTCTTCGTTGAATTAACAGTTGGGACCCTGATTATAGTGCGTTACAGCGCGTCGACGCGCGTCACCGCGAATGTGAACGCTGTCTTAAGCCTGCTGGTAGTTATGCGCCGCTTTTGTTGATGCTCTTTAGAGGATGAAATAAGTTTTTGTGACAGGATTGTTGTCATCCTTTTATAGGCACCAGACAAACCAAGCTGTCCGAAAATTGTGGAGTCGCGGTGTTGTGACTGGATGGCGATCATCTGCCATCTTCTTCAGCTTGCTATGACCTCACGTGAAGGAGCACCTCAAGTTGATGCGATTCTCCTGCAACTCATAAACGCACATAAGTCTTCGTATTCCTAGCATAGCAATGGATACGATACTTCCCTTCATGCCGATATTATTTCATCCAGTGCCCGCCACGCTTATTTTCTCTCTTCGAACAATTCGCTTCATTTCCAGATACTCTGTTATAGATGCAAGTAGAATTTTCAAATTATATGTTATTATACAATATACATATATCAATAGCATATCATCTGTATGTCGAGTTCGATAGTGCTTTCCTACCGGAATCACTTGCGGTTCTCAGGTGTGTGCTGTGTGGTTTGATGCCGAGATTCCGGTGCATTTTCTACAATACTGAACGTCAGCCTTGATCACATCATTATTGCTATGTTTCGTTTTCAAGATTTTTGTGGCCTTATTTTGTATTATACAGATGTATGCTATTAACAGCTATTGATGTTGATATCGTTTTGATATACCGATGTTTATTGATCGTCTCCATCCTTTTTGGTTTTCAATGGCCTTTTTTGCCTCATTATCTGCTTTCTAGTTTGAGCAACTTGCTCGAAGCTTGGAAGGTGTTGAGTAAACGAGTAAGTTCCATTTCAACCCTTTTTTTAAACTTGGACCAAGTCAGCTAATACCATTATGGTTGTTGCATAGTGATAGTACTGGCTATCTTCTTTGAAGATTAAATCCATGAAAAGCACTTGATGGACGAGTTCTATGAAATTGGTAATGACCCAGTGGACATTGAGCGACTCTCCACAGCTTGTGAAACACCTTTAACTTTCTGCTTTTAGATCCCTTCTACAGAGCAGTTTAGCTGTTCTCGATCCTAGGAAATTTCCATATTTTTTGCGGGCTAGCCATCAACCCTATATTTTCGCGATAGTGCAGTAAACGGTGACCTTGAATGCACTGTGTACAATCGCTGAGGGCGGGCGGTTGTCGCCAGCGTCATTGGTGGAAAGGGGTTGTTGGGGTGTGGCCAGACGCCCTCTCGCAGCCTTTCCTTCCCCCAGTGACGATGGCAACAACCGCTCGCCTATAGCAATCGCGCCCACTGCCTTCAAAAAATCACACCTAGTTTTTTGAAGATGCTTCAAAAAAAGAGGTTTTTCTTTCTTAATCATCATCTTAATGAAGTTGGAGGCGGCGGTTACCGGCTTGCTGATTTTGTGTTGCTTTGGATGCGTTCATACTTTGCGAGCTGATCATTTGGATCTCGCGGTCGGATCGTGGAGTATGAACGTGCTCTAATTATGTTCTCATTAAGGGGTCGAATTCCTTGAATTCTACTTTATCCGTCCATCAGGTGCTTGAGTAAAGTATCGCTTGGTAATTATTCTCTACTAGCAGCACTCAGGTTTCATTATTCTTCATCTCGTTGTGCTCATTTTATCACTGTAATGTGTGCCTATTCATCCGTATTATCATCTTATCAGCATCATCACATCATCAGTTGTTTTCATTTAGTTGCGGGCCTTCACATGTCATTATATCGGTTTTCATACCTCGTTTGCCTTACTATTATTACTGTTGTTTATTGATTGAAATCGATTTAATACTAGATTACCCATTCGAAAGAAAAAACTGTCAGTTTTCGCTTCTGTATAGTTTTTCTGTTAAATGTGTATGGCTAATCACTTATCGATTGCTCGCCAAAATGATTTCAGTTCATAGAATGTATTTAGTAGTCAATTCGATCAGGCGTATCTCTTCGTGTCCCGCTTAATTGTGATCGGCTATTTTTTCTTTTTATTGATTATAACTCTGTAAATAGTTTAAAACGTACAGCTATGGCGATCGATGCTGATGACGAACGAAGTGGTTTATGCTTTGTTCAAAGAAAGATCTGTTGTCTTAGTTAGGCGGTAGGTGGCCTGTTTTATAGTGTTCAGTATTCAAGAGGATATTCGACTTTCCATCGTTGGAATTCGAGATAGTTCGTGTATAATTGGAATGATCACATCTTATAGAGCATAATAAAGCATATTGAATCCTTCTTCTTCATCTAACTGAATTCTCGGTCTGACCTTTTGAGGTATCTTCGGAACGAACTGTTCGTTAGAGCTTCTTGGTGTCAATGTAGACGATGGGACGGGCGGAGTAGGAAAACGATTCTGGTCCCTGCGCTCCTCCTCTCACAAAGGTCTTCCTACCTTCGAATGGCCCGGACGGCAGGACTCGTGTTGTGCCCCGCTCCAGCTTCCTTTCTGGAAGCAAGTCACGGATCCTTTCCAGGGCGTTTCTTTCGGTACCGATAGGTGTTGTGCATGCCCTATTGACCTGGAGAATGTGCGATCAATCTTGATGCTTGCGGTCCCAGCATACACCCTGAAGGGCTGCTGCTGACCTTCTACAGCAACCCATCCAGAGCAGGTGATTGAAGCATCCTCGGCAAGGTGGTTGCATGAATGAGTGCAGTATAAGAGATCCGAGACAGTCGTCGCGCGTATCACTGGCGGAGTATTTCGTTGGTTGACTTCACTATGCAGCACGGCCACGTTGAATGAGCTGGATCGTGGTGCGAATGCCGCGCAGGTGACCCCCTTGTAGTGCTTCTTTAGCGCCCTCGCTGTGGCCTTTCCGTAGGAGTGGTCCTACATCGCTTGTTGAGGAGGGTCTACGTCATCCCAAATGGTTTGCGTATTTCTTGAGAGAATAGAAATGTTGACACTAATCAACCATCACCACCTTAAAACTATGAGGAAAAAATTCGCTGAAACCACCGATGTATGGGTTGTTTTGCCCTCTGATCACTAATATGAGATTTTTCAAAGCGCTGTTTCCAATTTTACCCATGATAGCAAAGTTCCATCGAAATTTTTGTTGAGTTTGTGTGGTAGTAGTAGCTCAATAATGCCGAATACCGACTTGTGGGAAAAGAGTAGACCTCAAGCAGGACCAAACGTGCACCCCGCCCTCACCGTGATTTCCTTTTTCTGATGAGATGTTTACGTTTAGCACCCTCCACAGAGGGTCACATTCGACAGCCATGAAGAAGTGGGCATGATGAACGACCATGGTTCTCTCATCGCTATAACTTGGTCTGGCTGGGTTCCTATCCTCTGGACATAAACTGCCCTCGGAACACGGAAGTTATTCAGAAGTTTGCTTTTTGACGGTCTCATAGATCCTTAATCAATCTCATGAGCTAGATCTGAAGTCATCATTGTTCTCACCTGTCACCCATGCTCCCGTTGATGATCCAGTTGCTCGAACAAGCGCCGGTATCGCCTCCATGAGTTCTTATAACGTTCTAAAGGTTACCGAATGACTCTATGTTCGACGAATGGGGTATGTGACAAGAGAATCGTAATTCACCGCGCTGGTGGGCGTCGCGTGCGACGTCGCGCCCGCAAATGACGATGGTTCCAGGTAGTAGATGGCGACAACAGGCAATTCAGAACCGAAAATAGTCATGAATGTCTACGATGACGGGTCTACATGAAGTCCGGTGCTCCAATCGACAGGTTAACACGAGTTAAGAAAACGCCGCGCCATCGCCGCGCGCGGCGGAGCGGTAAATTACGATTCTCCTGATCGTCTTCCGGACGAATGTCATTCTATTTAATCGGCGGAGATCCCATTTTTTACACCACGAATGCAGCGCTTATACCCCCATAGCTACGCTTTCAGAGAAAAGGGTGCTTTTTTGACAGATCTTATGGGACAGTTGCCAGATCGTGATGGTTATGCAGTTGCGAACGGCACAATGGCATCACGCTATCATCCTCATTTTTGACCGGCGAGAGATAAGCATTGCTGCCCTTGGTTTCCGATTGTCATGCTACGTGACCACGCGCCCCATACCTTAGCGACGGAACAAACTTTGAACACTATGGGATGGGAGCCCGACTCTGTTTTCACGGCCACTCCTTGTTCCTTTAGCAATCTGTTCCCAGTGAACGGTTGGCAGTCATGCTGAGTTTCGGTCCTGCTTTACGATTGTTGCGCAGCCTATCAGATGCTTTTAGTTTACAAATATTGTGGTTGGTTAGTTAATGGTCAGATCACTTTGATCTTGTACATTACTCCTGGAAAATTAAACATGTTTGCTTCCAAGAAACCTCAAAAATTAAGAATTTAACTGCTGTGGTCCTTTTAACAGTCACTACTTGCTTGCAGGGTGATGAGCAGGGATAACTTTCAGGTTGACTTGCCTATTAGTATGCCATTACGTTTACAGTGGAGATCTTGACGCTGGATGTTTTTGTAGAGCAGTTTCCGCATTCTGATGATTCTTTTCTGCTCCGGTCTACCACACTCGTTTCTTTCGTTTCCATTTCTTTTAGTTGATCAATTTCCCAAGATCTGACTTTGCTTGGGATTTCAACAGAAGTTCGTATAACTTGCTAATTCATGCTATTATTAGGTGATAGGTGATGATGGCTGAGCTGGTATCTTCTGTGCGTTGTTTCCGAGGCAGTCAGAATGTGTACAAGCATCACAGGTGTGTAAGGCTAAAGTTTTTAAGCCTCAGATAGGGATGGTCGTCAGGTCGAAGTGGCCGTTTGTAATGAGACCTAGACCACTAG